TTTCTTCTCGGTATTAACCGTTCTTTTCAAAAGTTTCTCATGTCATGATAGTCAAGAGAGTTGTCACAGTTAAACTCTAGCTTCAGAATTAGAATTTTACCCAATTTTTGGGTAGACTGGTAAGTAAAACAGTGGTTTGTGCTTTTGAAGTGCGTTTTCACAATCATTCTGGGTTTATCTTTGTTTTCCTCTTAACAAATATGGGTCATTGGCTTAAATGGTTAGCTTGACTACGTGAAAGCATCAGCCGTCAGTACATTTGAATCAGGTTAGTTATGTTTCTGATGGTTCAGACCATTCAGTCAAATTCTTCGAAAAACCCATAATTAGCCCCATAGGAGGGCCTGAATTTAAAGGCCGAAGGTCAGGTGGTTTAACTCTTGCTGCCATTTAGACAATTTCTGAACCTCCATTGAGCCATTTCACCAGCTTTGAACCTGCTCCCTTAATATCCGGATTATATCTCCCCCTTGAAGTACGGAAGATGTATACTTATTTCCATTCATCTAGCATAAGAAAACACGGACCTGAGAGAGGCTAGGACATGACAAAGTAAACTTCTCTTCTACCCCACTACACAAGTCAACAAAAATGGTTGCCTATCCTTTCTCTTCTAATTAACAACTTGTTGATTTGTTGGTTTTCTTTTAAGTATTCAAATTAGTTGGCAATTAATTTGACTTCTGGATATCAGAAAGTTAAGTACCCAAAAAAATTCCTCTCTTCTACTAACCTCTCCCATCAAAACAATGGAAAGGTTAACTTTAACACTGCCGTCCCTTCACAATTTCAATTTGGCAAGACCCAGCATTTACAGCAATAGAAATCAGATACCCTATCAGATGAATGAAAGCATAAAGCCTGATTGTACACTATATATTGTTTGAGAAATGACAAGGGTATAATAGTAATATTCATTTATGAACAGAATGTAGGTAACATAAACATTTTTTTAATCATACATCATATTTTCGCTTGATTGACAACAACAAGCATTCACTTCTCTGATGGCAAGCACAGATGATAGGCAAAGTTTAACTTTTTTTTTAGGGTTAAATTTAATAAATAATCTATTAACTATATAATTTATTTCAGTTTAGTTTAAAAATAATTTTTTCTTTCAAAATAATCTATAAACTATCAATTTTGTTTTAAATTGGTGTACTTGACAAATATTCCGTTACATGACTAACGGAATTTTTTATGGCTGTTGCCAAGTTGCCCCTTAAACTTTTGAAAAATGTTAAATATAGCACATGTATTTTTATTTTTTACAATATTTTGTTTTTTAAGTTCAAAATTTTTTGTCAAATATAATAATTAACCAAGATAAATTTTCAATTTATATTCATTAAGATTCTAATTTTAATTTATAATAATCAATATTATAATTTAAATTTTATAATTTTTAAAAAAAATTAATTTATTATTAAATATTAATATTTTTAATAAATAAACTCTTCCAAAATTTAATTTAATTAAATGAGCACTCACATATAATTAAAATTACCCA